TGGAGGTCTGGAGAATACACTACGAGGACAAAGATCCGCATATTCCAGTCAAATGTCATGTCTGTACTACTTTACGGATGTGAAACCTGGAAAGCGACAAAAACCCTTACAGACAAACTGCAGGTCTTTGTTAATAAATGTCTACGAAGAATTGTTCGTATTTTCTGGCCTAACATGATCAGAAACGAAGACTTACTACACCTGACCAAACAAAAGAGGGTAGTAAATGAAATAAAGTCCAGAAAGTGGGGTTGGATCGGTCACACACTCCGAAAAAATAACTCCAGTATTGCAAAGACTGCCCTAGAGTGGAATCCCCAAGGAAAACGAAAAAAAGGTCGCCCAGTACAAACTTGGAGAAGATCCATCATGGACGAGATAAGAAAACAAGGAAAGTCTTGGAATGAGGTGAAGGCCTTAGCGCAAAATAGAACCCGATGGCGCGTTTTCACTGAAGCTCTATGCTCCACTTAGGAGTTCAAGAACCTTATATAATATATATATATTATGTAATTGTTTACGTAAATGATACATCATAGGGCCCTGTATCATATTTTTGATCGTATGATCGCAGCATTTTTGATCGCTTGATACAATTGGACATTGTATCGTCTCCTCCAAATGCCATTGTTGCATACACCACCTTATGTGTGTCAAAGTTCTTTCAAATATTGTTTGCTAATCATATCAATTTGCTACATATATTTTGCGCTTAATTCTCATTTTTGTGTTGTGTCTGTTTATTAGGGATTCCAGGTATGTAACTTATGTAATACTTTCTATATTTTTCTTCCCTGTTAACTCAATCAATCAATCAATCAATGCGTTTTAACCTTGCTTTAAGCTCTATGCTTCTTCAAGGGTGGGTTTGTTTATTGGGTGCTAATGCTTGTTTGGTTTGAAATGCCAGTTTTCGCTCGTATGACTTCAATTGGACTCCGAAGACTAAGGGCGCCGCCGCTAAAGAGCTGAAAGGTCAAAGAGGGTGGTGAGGGATAGGATAGGATGGAGGCCGAGAACAAGAAGAAGGCAAGAGGCGGATGTACGGCTTCCGGAAGAGTTAGTCAGGCCCACCAAGCCTGTCACGAAGTACAAGTTCTTTGGAAAAAACGATTCCTTTCAGATTGTTGGCCATTGTTTGTTTGTTGGAAAAACGCGTGGAGGATAGCTGTGGCTATGACCTCACCTAGGATCAGGTATCATTGTGCAATGAGATTGGGAAACCACAGAAAACCAATCTCCCCCTGTCCTTGTGTGTATTTAATCGACTCTTAAGGAGTGTATTAGGTGCTCACAGTGTAGTGTTGTGTGTTTGTGCAGTTTTATATGTTTATTAATTTGGACTTTAGGTATGTTGTTGAGATATGGGGTTAGGTGTTTGTTAATTTGGATTGTGAGCTGGAAAAGGTAAAGTGTTGTATTTGGGTTAATTAGTGTGTGTATGAATAAGTGTTTGTATATAGAGTGTGGTATTTAGATGTGGAGGTGGGTAAAGGTTTGGTTGACTAGATTGTTTGTGCATGAAGTGGCTATGGCACATCCATACATTGCATTGGAAATTTGGTTTAGGTAAAAGGTGATTGCACTTCTCTTTTCAGGGAAGGCGTTGTATAGGAGTATGGATGTGAAGTGGATGAGGGATTTCATGTCGGAGGTGAGGTCGTAGGATGGGATTTGCTTTTCTGTGTACACTGGTTGGGTTTGATTATAGTTGGCGGGTTGAGTGTTTCGGTGAGGGCAGCGTGGTGAGAAAGCGGGGTGAGGACCACTACAGTTAGGGCATTTGGGAGTCGATATCGTGGGGCAGGCAGTAGACCGGTGGTTGAGTCCGCAGTACGGACAAATTATGGATTTTTCTGGGCATTCTGTATTGAAATGTCCGCTTTTGCAGCATCTCGAGCAATATTTGGACCGAACGGGAACGGAATTGCCTGATCGCGGGATTTCGCAGGCCAACCGTTCACCCTCGATCAAGATACCACTCGTGAGCGCTTCGGCGAACTTGGTTTCAGAGCTGATGAATACTCTGATATAGGAGGTGGGTTGGTTAGTGGATCGGGCGATTATTCGAACTACTTTGGTGTATGGGAAGTTGTTCTCGGATAAGTTATCCTCGATAAGTTTTGTTGGAAAGGTTTTTGCCACGCCGGCTATGACAAGATGGAAGATGGAAGATGAATTATTCGGATTGGGCGAAGGATTTTGGGACTTAGGTAGACGGGCTATGATACGGATTTGGTCGTTTTGAAGGATTTTACGAAGATTTGCCGTGATGTGGGCGATGTCGAGGAGTTTCGTAGTTCGGATTGAGGTCGCCTTTTGGGCTGGGAAGACTTTTAGCGAGTCTAAATTAGGGATAAGATTATGTTGTATTAGGAATCGGTAGAATGGTCTCTGCTGGCAGATATCGGTAGGGATGTCCTCTATTCTGTAGTTTTTGTATTGTGATGGTTGCTGAGGGGTTGGGGGAGGGATTGTTTGAGGGTTAGGCGAGGTGGTTTGTGAGTGTATGGGATGTGGTGTTGGGGGTGTGTGTGGTATTGCTATTTCGGGTGTGTGTGAGGGGGTTTGAGGAGGGAGGTGAAGGGTTGGGGGGGTTTGTAGAGGGATGTCTGTTCTGGATGTGAAGGGGGTGGGTTGGTATAGCGTTGGTTGTGTGTTTGTGAGTGTTTTCTTGGGAGTGGATAGGATTTTGGGAGTGATGTTTTTGGTTTCTATGAATTCTGATGGAATTTGTTTGGATACGGAGATGTGACTTTCGGTAATGGTTCTTAGGCTCCTCTCCCATTCCTTAAGATTGGGAAGGGGGCCCGTTGTATATAGGATGGCCTGGTTTTCGGAAGCTTCCGTGTCCAGTTCAAAGGGGATGTATCCGAGGAGATTGTGGTTTTTGAGGGTTCTGGATAGTTTTCGTTGACTGGAATATTTCTGAGGGATCAGTGTGATGTAATATCTGTGTGTGTCTGGGGTGTATTTTTGGGAGTAGGTTTTGGGGTTGGTTTGGTTGGTTTTGGAGGAGGAATGGGAGAGGGTGGAGGAATGGGAGAAGGTGTTGGTAGGAGGGGAAGGGGGGTAACGGGTTTTGGAGGGGAGGGGATGTATCCAGGAATTGCAGACATGAAGGCGTTCTGTAGGATTTTTCTGATGGTATCTGGAGTTTGTGTATTTAGTTGTTGTTCTTGGTTGTTGATTTTCTGGACCATGGGGCTGAGGTGTTCGCTGGCCGCCTCAGGATTTTGGTGGCAGATCTCTGTGAGAGCCTGTTTCCATTCCTGCTACGTCCGTGGTTCATGTCCGTCAATGTTGACTGAGACATGTGAAGTGTGAGAAGAAGAGGAGGATTGGGAGTCGGATACAGATTGCCAATCGGCCTCTGCATTCGCTGGTTGAGGTGGGTCGGGTTGTTTGCGGGATCTGGATCGTGGCATGATGTGGATTTTGTGTGTGTATTAGGATAGGAATTGGTATATATGGAATGTTGGATATTGATATATGTGGAAAAGGTGCTTAGAACAGATGGTTATTATTATTGGTATCTGTAGGAAAAGGAATTGGTATATGTAGGAAATTAGTATATGTAGGAATTGGGTGGGATTGGTATATGTATGAAATTGTGTTTGGATTTTGAAGGATGAAATTAGTATGTGTAGGAAAAGGAATTTGGAAGTGGTTATTGGTAAATGTGGTAAAATATGATTGATATGTGTATGAAATGTGTGTGTGTAGTGTATGTGTGAGACTTTACCTGAGTGTTCGTCACTTTTACGTTTCGAGAGAACTCTGCGGCGAAGAGCTATAGACAGGCACCAATGCCAACACCCCTTTGTTCCCTTACTTTTCAGTATCAGTTACAAGGATCTGTTAGCCGGTTGGCACCACGCCCGTTCGATTCGGTGCTAGTTACCAGTTTTGGCGCCTTACATGACAAATTTAACGCCTTCACGTGGTAATTTCGCGCCTATTGTTCGTTTTCTGGTGATCCTCTCGTCCAGAAAGCGTCACTACCGGTACCGTGGATCCGTTCGCGAGTTTTCGCGACCGTTTTTCGCGCTGATTACCGTATTCCGCGACACGTTTCACGATTAGATCTGTTTTGTTGGATTTCTGGGTCTTCACTTTTGGCGGGAACGTGTACGTTCACGTTGAAAGTTTGTACGAGACTCTCCCTGTTAACTGTTATGATAATTTGGGAGGTTTCTCGTCTACTGTTTATTGACATATATTTGATTTTATCAAAATTCATGTTAGTTAAATGCATATGTGACATAAGAAAATAATAACCATTGAAGACACCATAATAACGGTTTATCTTGAGGGAGTGGTCACGCATTTTGTGTAACATATAAGCTGAGATTATGCAACACAGACACGAAATATTTTACATAGTTCCGATGGTGTGGTATTTTACATATGCTCGAGGAAGATTTGAACACGAGAGGAGAATTCTATGACACATTTGGAGACAAGAGAAAACACCATCCAGAATCGTCGGAACCAACTGTAAAAGAAATGCCCACCAGTTGACGCCGCTGATCCTAGGGAAGAGCTGACAACAGGATATGAATTGCTGTATTTTACCTGGATAGTTACCAATAGATTAAGAATAAACACGACATGATAAAAATAATTTAAAAAGATGGGTTTCCATTATATTCAATTAATTCGATTCGAGAACATTTCATTCTAGCTTGGATCGCGAATGGCATTCGTTTGTTATGGGAAAAGGTCAAATTCTTTCCCGACCGATGTGATTTAAGCAATGACGCATAGGTAAGGTAATAGTAACGCAATTATTTTTGCCCCTGTGAAGAAGTTATCTTAATACTTAATATTTTTCTTCACATCGTTAAATAACTAAAAATTAAATCAACAAAAAAATTAGTCAAGTATTGTTATGAGTAAGGATCAATTGTACCATATATATAAAAAAATATCATTAAAAACGTAATTAAGAATATTTATACACTGATATCAAAATATTTCTCCTAAATAAATCTTACCGGGAAACTGTGAGGTAATTTTTGAGACACCTTGATTTTTTCGCAAAAGTTTGGACTTTTTCTTTTTAATTTTATACCCAACGAGAGGTAAAACTCTCTCTGGGGCTATATTAGCTACCTCCATTTCAAAATTACCCATTAAACTATCTAGCTAAAAAAGGAAATTAATAATAATAATAAAAAAGATAAATAAAATAATATACATATTGAAAAAAAAAACAAACAAAAATATAGAAAATATACAGAAAAAAAATAGTTGCAGTTACAAAAACACAGTAAAAAAAATAAAAGTCTATTACTGATCTCAAAAATAATGAATTAGTTGTTGTGACGACGAAACCTATTTATTTTAAGTCCAAGCGGGATCTGTTTTGAATTGGACATTTTCCATAGGAGTATATTTTTTTAATGAAATCACTTCAGGATGTATCTTGTATCAATAATCACAATATGAGCCAGTCGCAAACCTTGTGTCAAATTTTTTATTTAACAAAATCTAGTCGCTTTTTGTGCCCATATTTTCGCTTATAGCATGAGAAATATTGCTCCTACAAATACAGGGTAATAGTTTCCTTTTTCACTTTTACATAATATCTAACTAGCTAGAAATTGAAAATTTAATGTTTATTGTTTAAAAAATATCAATATTTGGAAAAAAAATGGAGTGTTTTTGACCTAAATTGTGTCGATCTCTTAAACATAACTAGACCCTACATATTCTGCTAGAAAAAGTTTATTTTGACTAAAAAAATTGTAAATTTGTAACATTGTGCTGGGCTCAAAATAGGCACTTTAAATATTAGAAGTTTTTTTACGTATAAAGAAAGGCAAAGAAATAAATTATCCATAGACGAAGAGATATGATAGATTTTAAAGCAACATGCAGAAAACTGGTCTCCATCAGAATAAAAAACAAGAAATCTAATCTTTTATTTTAGTCTTTTGATTAATTAATGTATATGCCTCAAGTGAGGATATTTTCCTTCCTTTTTCCTAAATTTACAAAAAAACTAAAAGAAATAGATATAAAAATACCCAAAATGGTTTTCTAATTATACTAGGGAATTTTAATGTAATAATAGAAAAGCAAAAATAAACATATATAAACTGTCCAAGAAACAATCCACACCAATATGAATACTATTGGAGAATGTTAATATGTAAACTGCAATATGACATCTAAAAAATAATAAATCGTGAATGAGGAACAAATCCCGGAAGAGTGGTGTATTGGTATCGTTTGCCTGCTACACAAAAAGCGTGATCAATTGAAATGTTGAAACTATAGGGGAATAACCCTCCTTAATACAGCATACAAAATATGTTCGAGTATTTGGTCTGGGCGATCGACAACAGACCAGATCTTTGTGCTAACACAAATACTGGAAAAAACCAATGAATTCGGTCAGGGATGCCCAAATAGACAACAGAGGAAACATTTTTAATAAATCATTCCAAATTTTGGTACATGCAGATGATGTTGACCTAGTTGACCACACAACACGCAAGCTAGAAGAAATGTATACCACCTTGTCAAATGCCTCAATAAATATGGGCCTGCAAGTAAATGAGGAGAAAACGCAAGATAATGGCATCAACACCCAACAATACAACCAGAAACATATCGGCCACCAATTCACGGTTGATAACTCTACCTTAAAGTGGTGCACAAATGCACATACTTAGGCTCCCTGATCACCAAGGAGAATGTCATGAAGGAAGAAATCAATCGAAGTATAATCCTAGCAAACGAATGCTATTTTGGATTGAGTAGACATATGAGAAGCAGAAACTTAAGCCAAAAAACAAAAATAACTATATACAAAACCCTTATACAACCAGTGTTGATATATGGATTGGAGACATGGACCATTTCCAAGGCCTATGAAAACCTCCTGCTTATATTTGAACAGAGGATTCTGAGAAGAATATTTGGTGAAATCTGTGAAAATGGTGTTTGGAAAAGACATACAACTATCACAGATATAAACATATACCTATTTGGTGGTAAAGACATAGTATCTCTTATAAAAATAGGAAGACTAAGATGGGCAGGACATCTGGCAAGATCACAGAAGAACAACCCTCCTAGAAAAATCCTTATGTCACAACCTGTGAGAAGTAGAAGTAGGGGTAGGCCAAAACTCAGATGGAGGGATGGTGTAGATGAGGATGGTAGAAAAGTTGGTGCAGCAAATTGGCAATAGTTGGGAATGGATAGAACTGACTGGCGTAATAGCCTTGGGAAGGTCGAGGCTCTTTTATAGGGCTATAGCACCAATGATGATGATGAATATGTAAACTAGCAACAATGACAAAGATATTCACTATGATTACACATTTCAACCACAAAAAAGAACATCAGGTTCATTATTAAAAAGATTTCAGGTCAGGTATAATTAAAGCTGTCAGGTCATAGGGTGGTGCAACTGCAGATTTTGTATATACATACAGCTGGCTATAAATGTTCAATTAATTATTAGCTAATTTATGAGATCTGTACACAAAATGCTTCTTCTCCATTAGACTTTATAGCATTAGCATTAGACTGGGTTTCTTCAATGTTCATGTATAACTCTGCTTACTCTCAGAAAGCAAAACTACTACAAATTATTTTCCAAATTACTGGATACACATGTTCCATTGGCTTTTTAATTTATCCAACCTTAACCTGATCAAAATTCTTAAGAAGTTCATGAAAAAATAAATATCTGATAAAATAAGTAACACCATGCATTAAGTGATTAAGCTCTTACTGTAAGCTTGGCATATGGTCCTAGCAATAATTAAAGCCAAATTCAAAGATACAAAGGCACTGTCAAAATGATTTGATGACTCATTGAAGCTCTCCAAAGATTAAAAATTTTATAAATTATATTTTTTATTCTAGCATATTACTAATAGAGTTAATATATGTATATAACAATAAATTTTATACCAGTTTTAATTAAAAAATAAATCTAGTGAACTTACTGACTGAAATGTAGGCCACTTTTTTATATCAGAAATATTAATAATCTCAGGTTCTGCATCCAGTTTATCTGCATTGGAAAAGTGAAACAACCTTTTTTTCAGCTTATGCATTGTAAAATATTACTTACACATTATTAAAGGAAGTGCATTACAAGATAAGAAATGTTGCATTTCATAGCGATATACCACAGACAATTAAAATAAAATTTATACAATAATTGAAGATACATTATAAACATATAAAATATTACTTCACAAACTTCTACTACAATCATATTGTTGATTATGTTCTGAATTTTACATTCCGTACATGACAAACTCTTCGTGCAATATGAAGTTATCAGTAGTTATCTGATTGCTGTGGCAGAAAAACCACAATTTTCATTTATTTTTAACCACATTAATACCTACATTGTTATTAATTGTAAGTAGTATATTTGATTTATACTGTTGTTTTAAAAATTAAAAGTTTTGTCCAAATATAGAATCTTTTTGGTAGTTTATAGTTTTTCAAATTCTTACAAGATTAAACAAGAAAGAAACTTAAAGCCGTTTAGTAACGGTTTTTCCTTTTAAATGTATGTAGAATTAAACAAATTAAAGATAGTGTTTTGCTTCCTGTTTATTTAAGATTTATCTATGATTAGATAGGTACATGTAACGAACTTACCCCAATTTTAGCGAAAGCATTGTTAAGTATAAATATTCTGTATGCATTATTGCTTTATTTTTGGCGACGGGTTTACATCAAACATTTTTCTAAATAAATAGAAAATATATTCAAGAAAACAATAACAATTGGAACATAACCTACATAATTTTTGACGTCAAATGTTTGACAAGATGACAAGTGACAAGTAAAGTATATACATTTACATGAGAAAAAGGTTCAAATAATTTGTTTAGGTATCAAATAGTTTTACTATATTTAAATAGTTTTACTACAGAATAATAAACAATCTTTGGTTCTTATTTTTTAAATTAATATTTCTATTTATGGTAATGCTGCACTTATGGTTTGTCGCACTTATGGCAAATAAGTGCGACAAACTTTAGGGGATGATTTTGCATGAAAAATTATGAAATGACAGTTTGCTGTATACTTTTATGTCATCAAATGCTTTGTTTTCCGAGATACGGGGTGTGAAAATTTTTCTTACAAACTGACTATTTATTGCTCTCAAATCGGTTGAGATATGCAAATGAAATTTGGTGGGTTTTAAGAAATAGAACTAAGAATTTATTTTCACCAATAGCGCGCATACGGCTAATGGTTGTAAATTTGGCGATTAAGCACGCCAATGTTCCGTACTTCCAATAACCTCTTCAACGATTTGAATTAATGCTGGAATGCCCTGGTGCATCATCCTGCATGAACCATAAGTGTTATGTTAGCTGTAGAGGATTTTCTTTAAAATGAATAAGTAACTCTTCTTGTAGGAAACGAAGGTCGAATGGCCTGTTATGTGGGAGGAAATATAGACCAATATTGAGTGATCGTTAATTACCTCAAGTCATATATTTACTGCTGAACATGAGCTTCAAAGATTCCATATGGATTTTCCTTAGCCAATAAGTGTTTATTATGTAAATTTTGTATAGGGTAAGGTGGTCCAAGAGTACGTACCCACCCAAGAGTGCGCACACCTGTTTTTATTAAAATATATATTTTAGAAGTGGTAGTGGCATCTATTCTATATGTTTTCTACGTTTACCCGTAGAAATACAGATCCTCTTCTAGCAAATTGACAAGCTACATAAATGTTTAGTGGCCATTGTGTACTGCGTACTCTTGGGAACGGTGTACTATTAAAGTACTGTTACGAACATGCGTTCAGCAGCTAACAGCATCTAAGTGGCCCGCCTAACGGTCGCATCTCGAAGCATCGAGAAGTGTCGGCTTTATATCAAGCGCTGTAAAATTCCACCCGTCGAATAACGAATTAGAGGTGGGACTAGTCCCGAATATTCTCGAACATAATACTTTGGTATATATATGTAACGGAATTAGGAGTTAAGTTTAGTTGATAAGAGAATACCGAACTGTAAAGTTATAAATAAATATATTTATATAAATTCGAACCGCTCGTTTTATTTAAAAACGGTACAGTTGGTGTCACCGTGTGAGGACAATTGATTTATTTAAAAATAAATTCAACAGTGAAAAAAAAGAGACTTTTGAACTTTTGAAAAGTATTGTTCGTCGGGAACATCCGCGTAGTTCAGTAGTGATCGTTGTACGAAAGAACATTTAAAAAGTACGTGTGTGCCCGACCAAACATGCTGCTAGTACACCTTTCAGTAAAACAGTTGCGTGAGCAACTAGAAGAACGCGATGAAGATTGCAGCGGGTCCAAGAAGATCCTCCAAGAACGACTAAAGAATGTTCTTAATAAGAATGGAGATGACCCAGAGACATTCCTGTTTCAATCAGCAGAAGAAACAGTTTTAACAAAAATGAATGAGAAATTTGAAAATGTCTCGCAAATGATTGAAGAATCTTCTAAAAAAATGATGATAAATTAGAGAACGTTTCCAAAAGATTTGATGAAACATTCGAAAATGTATCTAGAAGATTCGACGAGACTTCTCAAATTATTAAAGAAGTAGCTAGACAAAACGACGAAAAACTCGAAAAGGTTTCTAGAAGATTCGATGAAGTATGTACTCAGAACGATGAGAAATTTGAAGAAGTCTCAAGAATATTCGATCAGATGCAGACAAATGTAAACAACGTAGAAGAGAAAATCAAACAGTTAGAGACCATGATAACTAACACAAAAGTGCTACCACCAATTAATACGGTAGCTTTAGATCCGGTAGTGAAAGAAGAATCACCTAGAGACGAAATGGCACATCATATGAGATTCAAATTGCCACCATTTGATGGAAAGTCCTCTTGGTCCATATACCTTAGACAATTTGAAGCTATTGCGACAGCCAATCATTGGACAGAACAAGAAAAAGCTGTTTCCTTGACTGCTGCTTTACGAGGTGATGCTGCAGATATCCTAAGATCGATTCCTAAGGGTCAAGAAAAATGTTACCAGACCTTGTTCACTCGACTAGACAAACGTTACGGAGATGCCCATCTACAACAAGTCTACAAGGCGCAACTAAGAAGTAGAACTCAACGAGCAAGTGAGAATTTGCAAGAGTTTGAAGCAGATGTTGCCCGTATAGTGCGGTTGGCTTATCCGGAGGTACCAGACAACATTTTGGAAGAAATTGCCGTAGATACCTTCGTCAATGGGTTAAAAGAAAGTGAATTACAGAAAGCTTTACGACTAGCAAGACCGAAAGTTCTAGATGAAGCGCTCGCTATTGCCTTAGAACATGAAACAGCTAGTCAAACTTCACGGAGCCATCGAGTAAGAACCATTGAAGAAGGCGACGAACCAAACGATGAACGTCTAGAAGAAATGGTACGAAAAATAGTTTATAACACGATGCCGAAGAGACGCGAGCCCAGATGTTGGAATTGTGGTGACGTAGGTGACATTCGCCGTAATTGCAAGAAAATGATACAACAGTCGGAAAACTAGAACGGGTCGATACTAAGGGGCAATTGCCGACCTCGAGAAACACAGCCCCCATAGTAACTGTGAACATTACGTCCTCCGGTGGAATTCATAGCTTGTACATCGAAGGTCGTATTAATAATAAATGTATATCGTTTTTGGTAGATACAGGTGCAACAAGAACTATAGCACGGCCAGAAGTAGTACGAGACCATCTTAAATTATCGCCTGCAACAGTAAAGCTTAGAACAGCAACTGGTGAGATAATTAGTACATATGGCGAGGCTAATATGTCAGTATCCATTGGCCAGACCACAGTGAAATATCGAGTATTAATTGCAGAGATCTCTGAGGAGTTCATATTGGGGATGGATTTACTACGGAAAGTTGGGGCTGTATTGAATGTCAAAGATGCAGTTCTCGAGATCGGTGGTGAAGAGTTGCCGTTTCATGAAGACAAAGAAGATGTTATCAGCTTAATAACTACTTGTGACGTAACAATACCCGGTAATAGTGAGAAAATTTTGATGGCCAGACTTGATGGTTACTGCCGAGAGGGAAGTTTAAGGATGGTGGAAGATGTGAACAATGCCGAGTTCCTAACGGCAAAAGCTTTGGTGAGAATTCGAGATGTCGTTCCTGTAAGAGTTATGAATTTAAAAGGAACTGCTATTAAGTTAAGTAAAAGAACTTTGATCGGACAGTGTGTTCCCGTGGCTTCGATTTGTTCCATGAGTACTAATGAGAAACCGTCGAAATCTAAGTATCCAAAGGAGCTTGTAGAGACGATGATTAAAACGTGCCAAGATCTTGATGATGAATGAACTAAAAAAGTAAAGTCTATGCTGATAGAATTTCAAGATGTTTTTGCCATTGATAAGAAGGATAATGGCAAAACAAGCATAGTAAAGCATAAAATTAATACCGGAGACGCTCAGCCAATCAGACAACAACCTAGACGACTTCCATTTGCGAAAAGAGATGAAGCCGAAGACATCATCAAAGATATGAACAAACAAGGGGTAATTGAACCATCAAACAGTCCATGGACATCACCAGTAGTGCTAGTAAAGAAGAAAGATGGTTCAACACGTTTTTGTATTGACTACCGACAGCTCAATGTGGTAACTAAAAAAGATAGTTATCCTTTGCCCAGAATAGACGATACTTTGGATACACTTTCTGGTTCTCGTTGGTTCTCCACACTCGATCTGAAAAGTGGATATTGGCAAGTAGACATGGAGCCAGCTGATCGTGAGAAAACCGCATTCTCGATAGGATCAGGGCTTTGGCAGTTCACAGTTATGCCCTTTGGTTTATGTAATGCTCCGGCCACATTTGAAAGATTAATGGAGGCAGTTTTAAGAGGTCTAACATGGAAAACATGCCTGGTTTATTTGGATGATGTAATTGTAGTTGGAAGATCCTTCGACGAACATGCCAATAATCTGACCGAAGTCTTTCAACGATTGCGGGCAGCGAATTTAAAGTTGAGTCCGAAGAAATGTCACTTGTTTCGAAGAGAAGTGAAGTACTTGGGACATATTGTAGCAAGTAATGGAGTAACAGCTGATCCTGAAAAACTTGCAG